ATATCACTAGGCTACCTGGTCGGTAGGCCCAGGCAAGTATCGGATATAGTCCAGGGACTATATCACCTCTTCCCAAAGTAGTTGACTAGCAGAAGAACAGCAGAGACGGATCCCAGGGTGTGACACTATAGTTACCCTATAGTCACCCTGTGTTCTAGTAATGCTCACCCAGAAAGTGGTAAGTCTTACTCTAGTATTACATTGACAACTATGTTGTGATTTTGGCTACCTACTTAGCTTAACCTTAGGCCTTTAACTTATCCAGTTGTAAGCTTGTGAACTCTAGTATAAGTGCGCCTATATTTATATTTGCTATTCCTATTCATGTGAACAGAACATATATTTATATGAATTTGTTGAAGTTTTTGCCTATTAGTATAACTTTTAATACTATGACGCTCTAGCTATATATATTACCAGGTCTGTGCTAATGCATTTATAATTCATATTATCATGTTATAAGATTAAGAATTCCTTAGTAACAGCTAATCCATGGCAATCACCTCCCTCCCCGTAAGTTCAATCCTTTTATGAAGCCCTTAGTTTCCTTAACCACTGGTAACTCCCATCAGAGTGCCTATTATGCCATTAACAACCTCATGAGGAACAACCATACAACCCAACTTTATCACCGTCAGACCTTTCAACTTATCAATATACTTTCTCAATACTGATCGTTAGGTTTCACGCCCCCTTCAATCCATTCCCTGGGCCAGCTGGAATGCCACCGTGGGTTGGACTCCTACCAATGGACTAGCACGCCCAACTTGGTCAAGTTGGAGGCCGTATTGGCTCTACCGAGGTCTTAATGAAGGAGTTTTTATCTGGCCGGTGGGTCGGCGTCTTGCTCATGCTGCTCACTGTGATGGGTGGAAATAATAGTATTGCAGGATAACCATCAATTAAGACCCGGCCATAGGGCAGATTGTAAGGAGCTTCAAGTTCAAGCTTCAAGTTGAGACCCATTGATCAATGTGAAACAAGCTTAACTAGCAGTGAGAAATGGGATGTTTCAGCATACGCCCGCCAATCTAACCCTGACCGGCTCCACCCTCAATCATCTCACCTCTTTAAAGTACTTGAAGGCTCTACCACCCACAATTAGTCACTGTCTGTCCAACTGTGCCGGTCACACCTTTCATTCTCTTACCTTCCTTTTTGCATCTCTCCCACCATGAGGTCCTTCGTTTCTCTTCTTGCTTTTCCCGCTTCCTCGCTGGCTGGAACCGTGCTGTGGAGCGGCATCTTCAATTCTTCTGCAACCGTTGAGGACTTTGATGATTGTACTTATCTGCCCATTGCCTCTGCTTTGAATCTCTCACTGATAATATAGGGTCCTGGTCGAACCAAATTGAACCGTGGCAATGGTACATTCATGGCAGTGGCAAAACGAGCGAATATCTGGGCCTGTCCTCCGACTTCAAGAACCCGGCCGACACCAGCGACGCCCAGGGGGTCCGGATCACCATCGTATGCCATTTACTTCTTGACTTGTCGAAGACATATTGACATAGAATAAGGATGGGACCTCCCTCTGGGAAGGACAGACCATGGAGCGCTCCGAACTCATCCCCCAGACCACCGCCAATCTTGGCTCAGGCCATCTATACTATCACTTCTCACTGTCCACCAAGACGACAAATGCCCCCGACGCCTCCTTCGAACACCAGATTGCATTCTTCGAGAGCCACTTCATTGAACTCCAGTATGGCGCGTCCGGCACATCCGATAACACCCTGCGCTGGAACGCAGGCGGCAAAACATACTGGTCGGTTCAGCTGGAGGCGGGCAATTGGTACAACTTCGCCTACGATATCGACTTTACCTCACAGACGGTCGGTCTCTGGGCGTCTAATGGCTCCGATCCCTTGACTGAGGTAGTCTCGCCCGTCAGCGCATCCACCTCTTCCAACTCGGCGGACTGGCACGTCGGCCAGCTGCGCCTGCCCAACGGGGGAGGCTCCAACGACGCAGCGGAAGACTGGTTCTGGTCTGGCATTTATGTCGAGGAGGCACCTATCACAAAGGAGATTGGTTCTTCCGGCTCGTCCGGCTCTTCCCGTGCTTCGAGTGCTTCCAGCTCTTCGACTACCACCTCCTCCACCTCCCAATCAAGCTCCCTGGGATCTTCCACCAGTACTACAGGGCCCGCTGCTACCATCTCAGCTTCGTCCAAGGAAGCCTCTGCTACACAGACGGATGTCTCAACCGCAGTGCACTCCGTCGTTCCTTCAAAGACGAGCGTCACCGTCTCAACAGCCACCTCAGTCGCAACCACAACCCCTCAGGCTATGACATCGGCTGCAACTCCTGCCCTCAACACTGATACGGCCACACCCACTGGACCTTCTTCAGCAAAGCTCCCCACCCCCACCACTGCCGCACAGCTTCTCGCCGAGATTCAGGCTCTGTTCCGGTCCCTTGTTTCTCGTCCCAACAGCGTGCACGCCCGCGACTTTGCCCGCCGTAGGTAGCTTAAGGAGGTACTGTGCATTCCCTAGTTGTTTGGCACCACTTAATCAGGGTACTATCATTGCTCGCCCAAGTGGGTAAATAAAGTGGACTAGAAGTACTGAAACCATTCTTGAATGATTCACAGCACCTGTCCAGACAGAGAATGGGAATCTCGTATATGTAAGGAGCCAGTCCGCTTCTAGGTGGCTTGGACCTATTAAGTAGAGACTTCACAGGCTCATTCGGCATCCTGTAGATCTTAATTACTAGGTACTACTTAGTAATGTGTAACATCTTGTAGAAGAGTACCTGAGTGACAAAATTTCATCAGCAGGAGCACTTTAATGAGGCATTAAGTAGCATTGTTTCCGGGTCTTCAGGGTATAGGGTCTTTATCAAAATATCTGCTAGATTGATTCGCGTGCATAGCGCTCCAAAAGCTCCTTGAATAAAATGTCCAGTTGGAGACCCTGAAAGCCAATCGACCTACGCACTGTCAAGCTCTGGCAAGATAAACCCAGTTATTTACATCATGGCGCACATAAGCACAAAAAGGAAAAGGTCCATTAGGAAAAGGTCCATTTTTCTGTTCCTTCCTGCCTTTCACTGCATTGTTGCCTTAGCACCAGCTCGATGACAATGGAGTCAGCTGGATGGACTCAAGCGAAACTTGTCCGGAATGTCCGGTCAGCTTGATATTCGTGGATTCCTGGTATCTAGGCCAGATCGTGGCCGTCATTACGGTTCCATCCCCTGCAAAGATCTCGAGAGATGACCGGTCGATGAAGATGTCGAGAGAGAGTTGGTTGTCATCGGGAACGGCAAGAGTGGCTTGCCAGGTTCCACTCTGACCGTAGCCGGCGTTTGTAGTGTCAAGCGTCAATGTTCTCTCTGCTACCGAGTATGTGATGGTAACTTCCTCTGCAGACGAGGAGAATGCCGTAATGCTGAAAGATGAGGCGGTCGTCGTCGCCAGATCAACGTCCAATTGGAGTCGGACAGTCTTCAAGCTTCCCACGGTCCATGTACTCCCGACCCTCTTGTTCTTGAATGTAACAGCTTTGCCATTTTCGCTAAGCGTATCCAGTTCCCGAATGGGTCTCTGTCCCAGACCACCATCAGACCGGAGAAAAAGTTCCCGGGTAATAGACTGTTGACCAGCCCAGCCATTGACACGACTAGGCCACTTGGATGTTGGCCAGTTGCCCATCCAGGTGATGGCTAGGTTCCGGCCAGACTCATCAAGATACCACTGGGCTGCGTAGCTATCTGGGCCGGCGTCAAGAAGTCCTGTCTTTTCACTGGTGAAGGAAGTCCCGTTATAGGTGCCGATAGCGTACCAGCCGAGACCGTTCCCGCCATAGAACAGAGCCCATCGATCACCAATGGGAAAGAAGTTCGGGCATTCCCACATGGTACCCGTTGTGCCGTCGCCCTCGATCAGAACACCGACATATGTCCACGAGAGGAGATCGGAGGAACGGTACAGCTGGACCTTTCCACTCACAGAGTCACCTGAACCAACGACGAGTTTCCAACTCTGGTCCGTGGTGTCCCAAAAGACCTTTGGATCGCGAAAGCCACTCGAAGAGCCCGCAGGAGGGCGTGCAATAATCGGGTTCTTCGAACTGAGAGGAAACCGAATTCCGTCGGCGCTGGCTGCTGTCGAGACGACCTCTGGAATCGCACCCGGGTGCAGAGAAGTGTCCGTAAAGTCGGTGAAGATAAGTCGCAGGGACCCTTGATCACCGTCATCACGGACAGCACTGCCTGTAAAGCGACCGCTGCTATCTGCCGAGCTGTTTGGATTAGGCGGATATAGAGCCACAGGCAGTCCTTTCCAATGCACCGCATCGTCACTGTAGGCATGGGACCAATGCATCGGCCCCCATAACGGAGCCGCAGGGTTGAACTGGCTGAAGAGGTGATGTTGGCCATTCCACTGGATCAAGCCAGCCGGGTCATTGATCCACCCTTGATAAGGCGTATAGTGGAATTGAGGGCGGAAAGAGTCCGCGGCATAGAGGCTACACTCAGGCTGGCCGTTGGCAACTGGCTGGTTAGCCTGCCCAAGCACATGGAAGGTGAGCCCATTGCTGTCAGTAAGGGCGTCACAGCCCGTCCGGACGTCGTCGAGGTTGATATGACCCCAGGATGAAGCCGTGCTATTGTCATAGACCAGCATATGGACCCTCTGCCCTGCCCACTCGCTGGTATCCCAGGTGATACGGACCAGAGCTTCGTCATTCGTACCAGTTTGGTTCAACAATAATGCTCCATCACGGTCTCGAACCAAGCCGACATAGAGGTTGACCGGATCATAGCCTCCACCAAGAAGAAAGCTCAGAAAAGAGCTTGCTTTGAAAGAGCTTGATCGGAGTTGTCCGACAGCAGGATCACCGGCTTGGGCGAAACCCCAGAGGAAAGACTTTCCAACCTGGTTAAAGGGACCATCCCAATATGAAGTTGCTGAGCTGACTGAGTTATTTCCAAAGGCAGTACCACTCAGAACCTCCCAGCCATCCAGGGTCCCCGTTTCGAAGCTCGGGTTACTGGGACCAGGATATTGGGACCTGTCGCATTTTGTATGCTTCGTCAATGGGGTTCCTGAAACGACCGGAAGCAAGACAGCAGACAGTGAGAGGAGAATCTGAGCCGCAGAAGGACGAGAAGGATTTGAAAATTGACGTTGCATTTTGGGTGAGTAGAGGGATATACAGGGAGCCACTCGAAAGGCAAAGTGTCTGGTTATTTGTTATAGCTTGGGGAAGAGAGAGCGGGAGATGCCCGCCGTTATGTGTTTGTGATATGCTTCTTATATGGTCATTGTCAGAACCGCCTTCGCTCTGCACAATGGGGTGGAGCTTCGGTCTCCCGTCGGAAGAACTGCAGTGAGAGGAAAGGAGAAGAATCCGGAGAAAAGTGATGCTTTTCGTCGCGGAGCACTGCTTCTCCTCCGCGAAGTAGTTAGCGTCGGGGTGGGCTAACTGAACGCTTTCGATTTCTCCAGAGAGATGACCTCGCTTCCTCGAATCCCAGAAAACCAGTGAGATGACCTGCTCCGCTTCCTTCCCCTCAATAACCCCGCCATCTGGGCATCTCTGACTGAGCCCGATCCACTCGGGACCTGGTCGGCCCCAGACTGCACCAGGAGAAATCTCGGGGAATCTGAACACGCGGGGACGACGAAGAGGGATCAGCATGCCGATTTGTTAAAAGTCACCGCAAACCGCCTAGATGCAGGGCGTTTAGAGTTCATATCCGCCAGGGCTTGGACACATGTCAGCCCGTGCATATCACACGGGGCGAGGGTCCAAACCGGAAAGACTCCATGCTCTTTTCCCTCAGATTGGTCTTTCTTGCGGGGAAACCGATATTCGCCTGTCCCAACTAATTTTCTCAAGCTTGGGAAAGCTTCAACACTCTAGGTCCTTCACCGGGACCTTGATAAGGAAAAGTACTCACTTAATGGCATGGAGGAGTTCTACCCAGTAGCTCTTTGATCTTCCCCCACAGACTCTGAAGCTCGGCGCTAACTAGACTCCTACTGTGACCTTCAGAGAAATTCAGGAAGGAAAGGCCGTAACGAAATCTGAGGAGAGCACTCCCCAGACTTAGTCTGGAACCGCCTAGGAATGCCGTTGTCGTTGTAGTGTCAAGTAGTCTTGCTCGGAGACAGAGCTTTAATAGGCTTTTAACTATAGAGATGTAGATGATTAGCTTGGTATAATATGGTCGAAAAGCTATATGATACAAAGGGCTATTCTACGGGAGAGCATTGATAATCATTTCATTTCATGCAACGCAGGGATTAGACAGTTCATAAAGTATATGATCAGTATATAAAGTATTAAGACCTGGAATTGAATTCCAGCCTCGAATCAATCACCATTATGCTGGTTGAGATATCTTCATTTTCTCAAGCGGCCTTCTGACCCTTGGACATGGCCTTTGGACGACTTATATTCAAGATAGCGAAATACTTTCAAGAAAAGCACCTATCTGTGCCGGGTTCAATGGCTCTAGTCCGCAATTTGCTCAATATGAACGCCATGCGTGTCTACTTTCCCCTCGCCTACCGCAATGGACGCAGTCTCCTGCGCCATTTGCTTGAAGTGGCGTGGTTTCACCTTCAAAGCGAATAGTTCGTCAAGTTTCTCGAATGGGATTCCCTGGGATGATCAGCGCATTCTTGATGGAAGAATGGAGTCTAGATATACCTTGGTTTCAGGGTACAGGAAGAATCCTCCAACGGCAGCAATCAAGCCGGTGCCCAAGAACACGAATCCTACCTTCCCTCCGAGGTTTCCGGCGTCAGGGTTAATCTTCATGGCGACAGTTTAGCACGAATCAGCGAGCCCGTTAGAACAGGAGAGAAAGAAAACGAGGACACACCATGTAAGGGATAGTGAACTGCATGATGAGCCCCCATACCGCGTTCGAGATGGTGACCAGGCCCTGGGTAGCACCGCGAAGCCGCAGGGTGGCGATTTCCGATGCGAGCACAAAGCCTGTAGCTCCGATGGAAAGCTGGTAAATGATTGCCCAGACATAGATGAAGGCAACAATGCCCCAGCTCGCTTTGGCACGGTCCGGGACACAACCCATGATCCCGATGAGGAGAAGCATAAAGCAGAGGGCAAACTGAGGCCAGACAATCAGAGTGCGACGGCCGACAATCTCGGTGAGCGGGAACGCAGTCATACTCGCGAGGAGCATGACCACGTACAAAACCACCGAGGCGTCGAAGTAGTCTTTGACGCCGATGAGGTCGAGAAAGTATGTCGCGTAGCCGATGACGAAAGTCGCACCGATCATTTGTTGAGCGCTGGCTGCGAAGATAGCCGTCACAGTTCGTTTGAGATTGACGCCCCGGAAGCACTCGGCCTCAGCGGAGAAGTTGATGCCACAGACTCGGCCACTGTGTCTGGCATCGATGTCGCCCTGGAGGTCCCTTGCCAAACGGATTTCCTCTTGCATGCGACTGATCTCGGTATCGTAGAATGATTCCTCCGTGAACCCGTACACAACCTTGAGAGATTGTCTGCCCCGAGCGGTTTTGCCCTGGCGAATTAGCCAATAGGGCGATTCTGGGAAGAACAGCCACCCGGATATAAGAATAACTAAGCGGACGGGTCAGAGAGGGGATCCGATCCCCTGGGAACATTCAGAGGCAGAGAAACTCACGAGGGAAAATGTACATGGAGACAACAGGTAGCCACCATTGCCTATATTGCGAGGTTAGAATGGGCCTGAACTGCAAGTGTAGATGCTTACCATTCCGTCGTTAGGTAGCTACTACCCTTTGACACGGCCACACTATACAAAGAGTACCTCGATTAGCCAAGTCCGACGTGATAGTGGCGATGGTTGCTTGCATTGCGAACTGCCCGAAGACAATGCTCGTATTGAAGAAGCAGAGAAAGAATCCTCGAAGCTCGGGCCGACAGGTCTCTCCAATCCACAGAGGGGAGATCGTGAACATCATCCCGATGGCGATACCTGTTTGGTGCCAGTCAGTAAAGCCCAAAAAGAAAAAAAGAGGGTTTGAGGACAGCAGAACGAACCATTAATTCCACGACCAGCAAGATGCACTCGCCAATTACCCGCCAGCTGCTGGAGAAGGATACCTGCAGCAGAGATGACTGCAGCCGCCAGAATCCCCGGCTTACGCCCAAACCTCTCCAGCAGCGGCGCAAAGATGAATGTCGAGACGATCTCACAAGCTGGTGCAATTGAACTCCACGCGGAAAGATAACGAGCCGGAATCAAGTAACTGCCGTCCGCCTCCAAAATGCCGAATTTCTTCTGGAACTCGGGCAAGGCAGCCAACTGGCCACCCCCGACGATATCGTAGCCCTGCATGACCACGCCGCTGGATATCCAGAGAGCTGGGCGTGAACGTGTCAGTGTCTGTATACGCAATGGAAGCAGGCAAGAGGACACCTACACCACAACGCGAAGCGCCACAGCTCTCTCAACATGCGCCACTTATTGGCGGGGTTGATGACCGAGTAGTCCACTCTGGAGGATGAGCAGTTAGCTGAGTACCAGGTTGTACCATTGGGATGGGATCAAGACACTTCATGCGTACCCGTTTATCGTCGCCATGGAGTCTGATCGTTGGTAGGAAATTGGAGTTCAGCAAACTGGAAGAAAGCATTTGACGGGTGTCTGAAGGTGGTTTTATAGACGCATCACGGCAGCTTTGGGGTTGACAGGGAGATTAGATGTTGAAGGATTAGCCTAGCACCCCATGGGGACTGCGATATGGGGAATAAGTCCGGGGAAGCGTTAATTGGGTTTCCACACTTCAGCCACATCGCGGAGTCGAAGAGTATCTCCGCGATGCGTCGCAACCCGAGAACCATTGAAAGAAAGTAGACCGACGACATCTGGAAAAGACGCTGTTCGATCCGCGGATCAGTTCAAGGTCAGTTTGATATGCTCCGAACTCTGATTCAGACGCTGATAGTGGTTGAGGAGACTACTTAATAGCCCAACCATATCTAACCCTGTCGGGCTGAGGCCACTCATGGCACCTGGGTAGAGTACAGATGTCTGACCACACCCCTCCCCGTCCTACAATTCATTTCACGGCACCTTGCTGGATCAACGATCCATGTGCCCCTGGCTACGACCCCAAAACAGGCCTCTACCACCTGTTTTACCAATGTAAGCGATGTTGCCCAGAAGACGAACAATAATTCGAATCTCATACTAGGTGTATAGGCAATCCGTATGGCTGCGAATGGGGTAACATGTCATGGGGCCACATTACTAGCAAAGACCTTGTCACTTGGACGCGATCTTCAGGTCCAGCGGTCATAGAACCGAGCGAGGAATACGACAAAGACGGCGTCTTCACGGGCTGCTTCACCCCGCATGTCGGAGATAATCCAAGGGAAAATGCACAATTACGAGTCTTCTACTCTTCTGTCTCTCACCTTCCATTCCACTGGAGCACCCCTCCCTATCCGCGCAACGCAGCCGGTTTGGCGATGGCCACATCGCGCGACGGCGGTGCCGCATGGGTGAAATCTCACAAGAATCCTGTCTTGCGTGGAGAGCCCGAAGACATCCAGGTAACGGGTTTCCGCGACCCTTACATATCGCAGTGGCCTGCCATGGATGATGCGAGAGGGATGCAGCAGTCAGCCATGTACGGGGTGATTTCCGGCGGCGTACAGGACAAAGGCCCCACGGCCTTCCTGTACGCCATTGAATCCGAGGATCTCTCCCAATGGAAATATCTAGGACCGTTGGTGGATAACATTCCCTGTCGATTCCAACCCTCCGAGAGATGGGCAGGAAACTACGGCCTCAACTGGGAGTGTACGAACCTGATGACTTTCAGTACTGGCTGTGGTGCAGCCTCCGTCGAGAAACACTGTTTGATCCTTGGTGCCGAGGGGGACATCGAACGTGACCATATTCGGGCCCACCCACGCCCATCCACCTTGCCTCCCCGAACCGTTCGTTCCTTGTTATGGATGTTTGGAGACCTGGTAACTTCCAACAATGACCGAAACGGAAACGAGGCGCATGCTCGGTTCCAATTCACAAGCGGGGGTTTCTTGGATCACGGCTCTCTCTACGCGGCCAACTCCTTCGTCGACCCCACCGGCCGAAGAATCATGTACGGCTGGATCCCGGAAGAGGACGTGTCGCTCGGATACTGCGAGCGACGGGGATGGAACGGTGCTCTGGCTGTGCCCCGGGAACTGTTTCTGCTCCACATCCCCAAAGTGACGGGCACTCTCCGCACTCCTCTCTCGGAAATCTGCTGCTGTGAGACTTTCCGTCGAGATGGGTCTTCCTGGGTGGATATTCATACCCTCGGCATTCGACCAATCCCTGAATTGGTTACCGTGCGGGAAAATTGCTTCTCCAGCCAGGAATTGAACAATATATCGTTACCGAAGCCGGATTCGATGCTTACCCCTGTCTCGTTGATTTACCATCCATGCTGGGAGCTCGAAGCAACAGTCTGTATCAAACCGACCGGTTGTACATCTGTTGGGTTTTATATTTGTCAGAAAACTGATCCTTCTACCTACATTTCCGTCATCTTTTCGACCGTCGAGGAAACCATATCGGTTAATCGAGACGCCTCCACCCGCGATCCGAACATCAACACCTCTCCCGAGAAAGGGCCATTTACACTGTTCTTCAAAGGCGACACGAGTGGACCGGATGTGGCGCTGGAGAAGCTACATCTAAGGGCGCTCTGGGATACCGGCATACTCGAAGTCTATGCTAATGATCGCTTCGCGTTGACGACGACGGTGTACTTTGGAGACCACTCGACAGAGAACGAGATACTTGCTTTCGCAGCCGGGGATGTGGATGGCGCGATCTTCGAGGAGGTCAAGGTCTGGGATGGTTTGAATGCGATGAAGAGTCTTTTCAACGAATGAGGATGGAGAAGCTGAATGCTAGCCATATTGAGACACGCTTGACATTACTCCTCTGCACACCGAATTCATTATGGTGTGTGGTCCGTATCAAGTAGCTGTTGGTCCAAAGTACGTTGTAGCATGATCAAAGATGGACTTCTCTCTAGAATCCCTTGGTCTGCCGTTGTCGCAATCACGAAGCACTGAAAGAGTCTGTCCGAGCAGATACTGCTCAGCACTGGGCTGGTGGCTGCTCTCTTTGCAGCCATTGAAGTCATGAATATGCTTCTGCTCTGTTAGGAAACGCAAATGCCCGAACCCAGGAGTCAGAGTCTCTTACCTGACGAACAAAGTCCACCGATTCACAATGCAGACCTGGAATGCCGAAACAATGCTATGCATGAGCTGAATGTACGAATCGAAGAAACGCTTGCAGTGGTCCAGCAGTTGATCACTCGCCGCTCCGTCCAGAATCGCCTGGTATATTGCAGGCCAGTAGATGGACAATTTGCAGCAATGATATTGCACGCGGAGGAAGGTCGTAAGAGGGCATTGCTGCGGACCACCAGAAGCAGCTCCCGGAGATAGAGGATGGTGTTCTATCCTGTTGAACCGAATGATCTCCGGGAGATAGTCGTACCAGCTTTCCAGCTGGTGTTCGAGCTCTAGCGCTATTCCCGGTGCGTAAACGTGCCTGCCGTCGGAAGTCTGCCGGGTGGCCGTATTGCAACGGTGCAGCATGCGTCGCATGGCAATCTCAGCCAGGAAGTACGATTCGGACGTCTCAGCGCCGATACTTCCGGGTGAAGCGACTGTAGTTGGAGAGGCTGCTTGAGGCCCAGATTCTGGTCCGGGGACGGCAAATTGCCAAGTTCGCCTGCAGTCTGGAAGAGGGATGTATTCGTCGTATTTCCAGAGATCGCTTTTTGCTATATCCAGCTGAACACTGAGCTCACTACAGTAGTGCATGGTTAGGGGATGCTATGAGCGTAGCGTTGAACAATAGCCACGTACTTCTCGAGTAGCAGAGCTGCCCAGTACGCCCGATTGGTGAGCTCCGACTTCTCCGGGTCTTTACTTATGATATCGTGGAAACTAGGCAGGAGTTCTCCCATGAGACTTGTCATGTACCCACGGGGCATTGCGGTCACCTTACCTTTTCAACAAGTTCTGGATCTTGAAGGAAGCAATTAAGCTGTAGTCATGCGCCTGGCACGGCTTCATCAGGCTACAGTAGTATATGCCGAACAGGAGCGCGCACTGCACGCTGACCAAACTGCATTCCGAGATGACAATCGGCAGGGACGCGAGGGCAGCCTCAAAGAATACCAAATCCGACCGCTCGTGGAGGTCACCGCTGCTCCTCATCTCCTCATCCTGAACTACGCAACCCACAGCGGCCACCAGCAGGGCGAGGCACGATTCAGTGGATGGGGCTAACGTTCCCGACAGGATGTGGAAGTATTGCTCTGAGAAGGCGAGTGGGAGAATGGGGTACCAGCTGTGGATTTTCTCCAAGAAGACCGCGAGTGCACCCGCTGCTTTCTGGTGATGCATCATGAGCATCCGCGAGGCCCCGTAGCCTCGACTGCTCGCATCGAACGCAGTCCTTTCCATCCGAATCAGAGTATGTCCAAAATCGGGGTCCAGGCCTAGGGTCCGCAGGACAGATGAAGTTCCGAGCAACTTGAATGGTGATCCTTGCTGAGAGCGCAGTTTGGGACTCACATGCCGGAGTCTGTCGTCGGTGGGGCCATCATGATCGTCGTCGATGTACGGAGGAGAATTCTTCTGGGATGAAGTCAACAGGTGGGTGAGATGGTCCAGACGCTTGTTCACCGCGGCCAGTTCCAACTCCACCTTGCTTGCTGGCGGTTGAGGGGGCTCTTGGTAGCAGCACTCGACGGCATGTGTTCGGCAATAGTGGCATCGCGGTCTCTGTCCATCGCATTTGGTCCTCCGCGATCGGCAGGTGTCGCAGGCGAGACTGGATCGCTTTCGCACCTTTCCGCGATGGCCAGAGATCGTGGAGACTGAGCTGCGTTTCCGAGGACGCTGATCCTCACTACGAAGGTCCGAATCGAGGTGGTCCATAACTGCACCGATCTGTTGGTCCGTTGAGGGACTGGTTGGCTGACCGGTTATAAAGGGGCTGACTCCGCGACGGCTCACATGACGCAGGAATTTGCCTTTTGACGGTTGAACTTTCCATCGCGGAGCAGTCCCGATGCTCCGCGATGCTTCCAATTCAGCTGCTTCGTCAACTCCAATCTCTCTCTTGGAGAGCCAAATTGTCAGAATGGGGAGGAGTGTCCTGACGGCATATATATCTGCGTCCCGACTCTCGCTGCGTCGATTCAATGTTCTATTCCTGCACAAGTTACCTGTGTCGGACCATTTCCCCGCTACTTTGAGCCCATATATCTACAGAATTAGCTGACACCACCGTTCGAATCTACACAATGAGTTCCTCCTTCTTGGGCGGTGATCTTCTGGCTGCAGCCGCCCAGCGCAAAATCGCCCGGACCGCTCGCATTTCCAGCTGGGACCAAAGTGGACTGAATGAAGATGCCTTTGTTGTGCAGCCTGGAGAAACAGCTGTTCTGGCTGATATCGAGGGTCCTGGAAAGATCACCCATCTCTGGTTCGTCCAAACATGCCGCCGGATGCTGGGCCCCAGTCTGATCCCCTACTCCAAATCCGGTGTCGCCATGATGGAAATCCACAATGCACTGGGTCTCAGCTTCGAGGACAACGATCCCGACTACTATCGGAAGATCCTTATCAAGATGTACTGGGACGACTCTCCCACTCCGAACGTTCTCGCGCCATTGGGAGACTTTTTCTGTCTGGGCCAATCCATGGCGGCCAACTTCCAATCTCTGCCCTTCACCGTCTCCGTCAAGCCATCCGAGGAGAAAAAATATGGGGGAGCGGCGGCCTTCAACTGTTACCTGCCCATGCCATTCAATAAGCGTGCGCGGATCGAAGTCGAGAACCAGGGCAACCATGCCTATATCCAATATTTCTATATCGACTACGAGCTGCGCCTCGCCCCCTTTGACCCAACCGATATCCTGTACTTCCACGCGCACTGGCGACGGGAGAATCCCACTCCGGGCTGGGCTCCGTCCAGCATCCAGACCAACAGCCTTGAGACACAGGTGCCGAACCTCGACGGTGAAAAGAACTACACCATTCTCGAGACCACCGGTGCAGGCACGTACATCGGGTGCAATCACTCAGTGACCCATTTCCAGGGCACCTGGTGGGGAGAAGGCGACGATATGATCTTCATCGACGATGACACCTGGCCGCCCTCCATGCACGGCACTGGAGGCGAAGACTATTTCAGTCAAGGCTGGGGCATGCAGAAGAACGCCTTTCCTTTCGCAGGGACGATCATCCACGAGGATGATGTGCCTAATACACAGGTGTCCTATCGCTGGCACCTCCCCGACCCGGTGCGCTTCAATAAACGGATCAAGGTCACTCTGGAGCACGGCCACGCAAACCACCTCCGCGATGACTGGTCCACGACGGCGTACTGGTACCAGACTCTTCCCGGCCCCAAGTTGGAGATTCTTCCTGTCGAGCAGCGGCTTCCGCTGAGACCGCAAATCCCAGTCCCGGACGATTCGGACGTAAAGGTGGATGGCCTGACTGATCTCCAGAAAAGCCACATTCGACAGAACGAGGAGCGAATGAAAGCGTTCATCGAGGACCGGGATCAGTGGCTGGAAAGAAGGGCAGCGGCAAGTAGGGAGAGGGCCAGAAACAATACTGAGATTGCAAAGGATATCCGCCGACGATTCTTCAAAAACGAACTGAAGAAATGGGTGGCATTCAGTCGCCAGTACTCTGTAGCAAGTTAGTAGTTACAAGCAGGCATTACTTATAAATTTCATTTATTTCCGCGCGAGCAGTCTGACTTGGTTTCATAATTTCCTAGGTTAGTGTTATTAGATCCGGAGGACATTCTGCCTCTTAATCTGCCTGCTGTTTAATGTGTATATGCTGGCGAGCTGTATATGTGCTGATTACGAACGGGTACTGCCATCGACAAGGGTGCCGTCGCTGTCCGGCCAACGGCAAGCCCCTGAGTATGAATCCTCATGGCTAGAATAGAATATTACAACGAGAATGTAGAAGATTCCTCAAAGTAATAAGGTATACTCCTGCTATGCTAGGAAATACACGCAAGTCTGGGAATCTACCTAGTATTGAGGCCGTACTAGTCATGCAAGTAGGCTGTGCCGCAGAATTGCTCATCCCCATCATCCCATCATGGTGTTAAAAAGTGACTGCTGCCCCTGGAAGTAGGCGGCTTCGATTTATTTCCTCGTCTTCGACACCCTGCCTCCCCGTTCTAGTAGATCATCATGTCTCACGCGTTGGAAGACAAGGCTTTGCACCAACTACAGCAAGAACAGTCCAGGCTCCTGGACAAGATTGACGAGCTGCGCACCATTGGCGTCGGTGGCCTTGTAGAACTCCCCCAGTTGATAGTCTGTGGCAACCAGTCGAGTGGGAAAAGTTCCGTTCTCGAAGCCATCTCGCGCGTGCGGTTCCCCGCGAAAAGTAATGTCTGCACGCGATTTGCGACCGAGGTCATCCTGCGACGTAGTGCAGCATCATCTAAGATCAAGGTATCCATCGAGCCCGGTCCTTCGCGCACGGACGAGCAGGAACGACGGCGACTCCGGAGCTTTGTCTATAAGGACTTCTCTAACGGCAATGACCTGCCTGCCCTAATCGAGAAGGCTAAAGAGCACATGGGAATCAGAATCACGGAGTTGGTTACTGCAGGCTTCAGCGATAACATGCTCAAGGTCAAAATTTCAGGGCCAGACAAACCGGAGTTGACTCTGGTGGATCTGCCAGGCCTCTATTACTCCACGAGCCAGGAGCAGGGCTTGCAAGGTATTTGGATCGTCCGCAAGCTGATGGAGAGATACATGAAGAATCCAAGAAGCGTCATCCTTGCTGTGATCAGTGCGAAACGGATTACCATCTTCAGGAGGTCCTGAACCTGGCGGAACGATTTGATCCAAATCGCGAGCGCACACTCGGAATCATTACTCAACCTGATATCCTCGAGGCAAACTCCGAAGACGAAGAAACCTATCTGCACTTTATCAAGAATAAAAAAGTTCATCTAGAGCTAGGCTGGCATGTCTTACGCAATCGATCGTTCGAGACCAGGGATATCTCGGACGACGCACGCGACGAGATGGAAAAGGCCTTCTTCAACCAGGGACGATGGACGTCGCTCTCACGGGAGTGTGTCGGCATTGAGAGTCTACGCCGTCGCCTTAGCAGTATATTGCTCAAGCTCATCCGTCGGAATCTCCCAGAACTGACCGCAGAGATCCAAGACAAGGTCTCTGATCGACAGCGGCAACTCTCGAAAATGGGGCCTCCTCGGTCCACTCTTCAGCAGCAGAGGGGTTACCTTCTCAACATCAGCAGTAACTTTGAGCGCATCACTGTGCAAGCTTTGAATGGGATGTATGCGGATGATTTTTCGGTGGCTTGAATGATACAAGCAGTATTGAAGACTTCCGACGACTCAGAGCTGTTATCCGGCAGCTGAATGAATACTTCGCGGACGCAATGGCCATTCGAGGCTGCCGCAGGAAAATTGTCGACAGTCGCCCATTTCTAAGCAAAGATGACCTCCAAGTTGCTTCTGGGAAGCCTTACATGGACGACTGGAAACCGGAATATGTGGAGCGCAGTTCTCTCGAAGCAGAGGTCAGCAAGCAAGCACGCAACAACAGAGGCATTGAGCTGCCCGGGAATGCGAACCAGCTTCTCGTGGGAAGCCTTTTTCGCGACCAGTCCAAACCATGGGAAATGCTTGCGAAGGAACACTTAATGAAGGCCTGGGAGTCGGCAAGATATTTCGCATTACTCCTTCTACAACACATTACCGACGACCATACCTACTCCTTACTGGTCAGCTTCGTCATCGACGCCGAATTTGAAAAGTTGAAGCAATCATTGCTTGGAAAGCTTGACGAGCTGACCGCATATACGAAGCCAGGCCACCCATTGCCCGTGGGCAAGAGCTTTCTCTCCCAGATTCAAAAGGCCAGAAGCAACCGTCAGCTAGAGTCACGAAGAGCAAATCTCCGGGCCAGTGGTTTCGAGGAAAAGGGGGAAAAGCTATTTACAATGACAGACCTCGAGCAGGCCACATCGTGGACGGAATCTTCCCGCGATGAATTCGCAGCCGCCGAGATCATCGACCAGATGCAAGCGTATTATGAGGCGAGAAGGTCTTCATTTCCTCTACCTGCGACTACAACGACCCTAACAGATAATCCCAGACAGCCATTGTGACCTTTGTCGACAATGTCGCAACTCTAGGCATCGAAAATTGTCTTCTTGACCCTCTGCAACGTATATTTACGAGCCAGGTCGTCAATAACATGGACGATGACCAGATCCGAGAACTTTCCATGGAACCGCCTTATATACATGAAGAACGACAACGGTTGTGCAGCGAGCTCGACAAATTGCAAGCCGGCCTACGAGCTCTCAACGTCTTCAACATCCAGAAGCCGTCATTGAGTAGTCCATCCCTATTCGGTAAGCTCCGCAGTTCTCGTTTGAAGAATCAGAGTATAACCCCGACTTCCCTATAGTAAAAAAGGCGGCTGCAGGACCATCGCACGGTATAAGTCCTTCCGCCGATAAAAGCCGTCCAGGACCAACAATACCATCATCCAATGGAAAACCCTTCACCGTAACCGAGTGGACCGCGGCCTTTCAATCTCCTGGACGTAGGTCTACGTGCTTTCCCCCAAACAGGATCTAGCTAATCCAGGCAAAGCTGCGAATAATGCGAAACCTAGAACACCTAAACCACCCTCTGTACTTGATTCGGCCCGGGATTCACCAGTGACTTTTGGGAGTCTATTTGGGACAGGCCTATCTGAACATAAACCTGTTCCAGGGGGCTTTGGTACAGCCATATCCGAACACAAACTCGTTCCCGGGGGTTTCGGTACAAGCACATATACAAGCACCAGCAGCAAACCTATAAGAGTGAAATTCCCAAGTACAAGGGCCCAGGACCAGTAGCATTGCGCTTTCTCATGTTAAGCAAGAACTCTTTCAATATCTATTTGCTGCAGCGGCTGTCATGAAATATCTGGGATTCCTGAGTTGGATATTCACAACTGCATATGAAGTATCTAACTCTTGCCTTAGAACAGTTACGAATGCAGACATAGCACATATCGCATCTGTCCCTCCCTTTAACCACTATTCCCCAGAGGTCTGCCCCCCTTTGACCTCCTCTTGGCACCTCATGCTTTGCTCTTTGAATACTGATGTAATTGGGCTAATGATTAGCAACCCACAGGAACTCTGACTTGGTGGTTATACACGGGGTGATAAAGTAGCACTCACGTAAACTTGTTTCAGCCTGTGGACGTATAGAGTACGACTAGGTCTTCATCAGGCACATCTGGCGTGGTTTAACTTTCTCGGAGAGCCTTTCCTGTCTTCCGTAAAGCGCAGCTGTTTGATTGACTAGATTACTACTTTTCTGAGCATCCTTCTTTGTCAACTATCCCGGCCTGGAGTTGATGGCACGGGAAGTGGATATGAGAGTACATATAGAAAATATACGATGGGAGACTATCAACACGAAATGACCAGACATGTAGCTGGAGAGAGCTTCTCTGATAATAGTGGTCTGGAACTCGAAATGAATTCTCTATAACCTATTTTCTTTCTAGATTTAAGACAGATGAAACCGGGTACATTGCATTGTCTTGATCATGGCGTGCTGACATCTATCATAAGAACCAATAACGAATGCTAACAAGGATAAAGTACACATGGCGATAGAAATATCCTCTCATCCTTCCTAATATTCAAAACGCTAATGAGGAGCAATGCAGTGAGTGGCAGCCAAAGGATCTAAGGAACTCGAACATTAGCAATCAGTTCGTATGGCGGGTAACTCATGACCTACCGGTTCCACAATACCGAAGAGCCTCGGCATATAGAATCAGATCTGAGAGGATAAAAGCAGCACGCGGAAATATAAACTTGGAGGCCAATCGTGCAGGCTGAAGTCAACTGAGTGAGTTGTAACTGAAAAAGATACAGGATCCACAGATGGGTCCACGGACAGATCTCCAGAGAGATGAAGGCATATGAATCCAGCAGGCAACAGATCTAATATGTCTTAATTATGACGTCCTAAAGAAAAACACGCGTGCCGCGAATAGGCTAGATGTTGTTGTTGCCACCGGAGATGCAGCTGCTGAAGGGCAGTCCTGAACTGCAGTATGCATTATCATTGAATGAGCCTACTGGGCCCAGCTTCAGCCATCCATTCCAGGTGCCACCATGGTAAAGATGTAGGCAAAGAGTTCCACTTCCACAGATCTGGTTATGCTCCATATTTGAAAGGAACTTTTTAATAGCCCCTGCAATGGTATCTTGCTGTGCTGCTTTATAACAATCATGACATAGCCGGAGTGCGTTCCACAAGGCTGGAATTAAACTCAGTTTCGTCCAGCTCTAGTTGATCGAGGTTCATTTGAAACCACTTATCTGGCAGCGGTTGCCCTTGGATAGATGAAGGCCAAGAAGAGGCCAGCATGGAAGTTTCTAAAGTAATAAAGAGTATTCCATGGATTATGCTCTGTTTGAACAGCTTAAAATTACTATTCACACTTACCTGCTACTAGTTTCCAGTTCGCGCTTGCTTGGTAGTAACTATAAACAAGTCCCAACGCCAGTCTTTGTAGACGGTGGGTGTTGATCTACATGTCCCGGCTTTCTCTAATGATTAGCTCTATGTTGCTTTATCCCGTGTTATGGATGTTGAATGGCTTACGGTTCTAATGGACGAAGGATGTGGGTCAGGCCCATGGCAATGAGTAGGTAGTAAGTGTATAAGCTAGTCTATAAGCAGGTAAACCAGGAGGTGAGTAAGAAGGTAAGCAAGCAGATAAGCAAGCAGGTTCACAACCTGCGTTCTGGAGTTATGGAGTGACCGTCGCTCCAGTACAGCCTCATTGTGGCTATCTGTTCTGTGGCTCACGATGCACGTGACTTAATCTGTCTCATTTACTATAATTTATGAGATATAGACATCATATCGAATCGGCGATATTCGGTATTACCTAGTAATCTAAGCTAAAGGGGTAGAATTGACGGTCAATTGGCTCTGATTCTTTCTATCTAAGTGCCTGTCAGGATTCCATCCCGTTTAGGTTTAGCGTCCCGACTTAGTCAGCCTATATATAGTTGGCCCCTGAGCCATCCTAATTGGACACTGGGCGCTTCCCGATTCTCTCAGGTTATGGCCCTATGTTGACGATTCCACTGATTGCTATCATGCAACTTAGTTGTCTTGTTTGGCACTAGGATTATTCTTTATTTCAGGATTCGCCCTGTCTATTTCT